CATCAGACGAGGCTACGTAATGCGTGATTACGTCAAACGAGGCTACGTAATGCGTGATTACGTCAAACGAGGCTACGTAATGCGTGATTACGTCAAACGAGGCTACGTAATGCGTGATTACGTCAAATGAGGCTACGCAACGCGTGATTATGTCAGACGAGGCTACGCAACGCGCGATTACGTCAGACGAGGCTACGCAACGCGTGATTACGTCAGACGAGGCTACGCAATGCGTGATTACACCAGACGAGGCTACGCAATGCGTGATTACATCAGACGAGGCTACGCAATGCATGATTATGTCAGACGAGGCTACGCAACGCATGATTACATCAGACGATGCTATGCAACTCATGATTACATCAGACGAGGCTAAGCAACACGTGATTACACCAGACGAGGCTCCGCAACGCATGATTACGTCAGACGAGGCTACGCAACGCGTGATTATGTCAGACGAGGCTACGCAACGCGTGATTACGTCAGACGAGGCTACGCAACACGTGATTACATCAGACGAGGCTACAAAACTCGTGATTAGATCAGACGAGGCTACGCAATGCGTTATTACGTCAGACGAGGCTACGCAAAGCGTGATTACATCATACGTGGCTACGCAATGCATGATTACGTCAGATGAGGCTACGCAACGCGTGATTACGTCAGACGAGCCTACGCAACATGTGATTACGTCAGACGAGCCTACGCAACACGTGATTATGTCAGACAAGGCTACGCAACGCGTGATTACATCAGACTAGGCTACGCAACGCGTGATTATGTCAGACGAGGCTACGCAAAGCGTGATTACATCATACGAGGCTACGCAATGCATGATTACGTCAGACGAGACTACGCAACGCTTGATTACGTCAGACGAGCCTACGCAACACGTGATTACGTCAAACGAGGCTACGCAACGCGTGATTAAGGCTACGCAAAGTGTGATTATGTCAGACGAGGCTATGCGACGCGTGARTATGTCAGACGAGGCTACGCAAAGTGTTTTTACATCAGATGAGGCTACGCAACACGTGATTACATCAGACGATGCTACAAAACGCGTGATTACGTCAGACTAGGCTACGCAACGCGTTATTACGTCAGACGAGGCTACAAAACGCATGATTACATCAGACGAGGCTACGCAACACGTGATTACGTCAGGGAACGCTACGCAATGCGTGACTACGTCATACGAGGCTACGCAACACGTGATTATATCAGACGAGGCTGCGCAACATGTAATTACATCAGACGAGGCTACGCAACTCGTAATTACGTCAGACAAGTCTACGCAACTCGTTATTAAGTCAGATGAGGCTACGCAACGCGTGATTACATCAGAACAGGCTATGCAATGCGTGATTACGTCAGACGAGGCTACGTAATGCTTGATTACGTCAGATGAGCCTACACAACGCGTGATTATGTCAGACGAGGCTACGCAACGCGTGATTACGTCAGACGAGGCTACGCAACGTGTGATTACATCAGACGAGGCTTCGCAACGCGTGATTACGTCAGACAAAGCTACACAACACATGATTACGACAGACGAGGCTACGCAAAGTGTGATTACATCAGACGAGGCTACGCCACGCGTGATTACGTCAGACGAGGCTATGCAACACGTGATTACGTTAGACGTTGGCAACAAGCTTTGCGGTAGTAAATAGGAAGTGAAACTTGCTAACTAGCAGAGGCTAATCATCTCGGGACTATGGATTGATTTTTTTGTGAATGCCTTGCTATTGGTCAAGTTGTAATTATTCTATCTATTCAGCTAGTACAGGCTATGTTTAATGCTGCCAGGAGACGTAGGGAAATAAACACAATGTTAAACTATGCAGCAGAAAGGCACGTGCAACTACGCCGGGACGAGTTAGGAAAGCAGAAACAGCTGAACGTCACGTGWGGTAAATATGTGCTATGTCAGAATTTATTCAGCAAACGTGTTTCCATCTCCTATTTTGCGCATTAACTACTTTGCGAATCATCCAAAAACCACCTCAAGCGAGCATAAAAATCTTTTCGCGAACTGAGGAATTTTTTGTTTTGAATTTTGCTGTTTCCATCTGACTTTTTTTCACATTTTTAATGCAACACTTCTAAACGCGCATCAAAAAGCCTTGATGGAAACACGGTCAAGGAGAGCTGCTGKTTTGTCAGACAAATTTATTTTAATTTGAAGCCTTATCAACACAGACTGTCTTCATTCACTTCCTCCACTGCCGTATGCTAAAATAACTAGCAGACACTGCGCAGAAAATCAACGTTCTGTTCTCTGATTGGTCCGGACGAAACACTCCTGAATAAATCCTTGTCTGTGGGAGAAGTCCAGACGGAGCAGTGAAAGAAACTAGAATTGAGCGGAGCTGTAGGAAGGTAAGGGCCAGGCTAGAAGTTTTATTGTAACAATTAGTAATTATTTGAAGTGATTTCATTTGATTTCATAGTGAGAAAACTGATTTTAGTTCTAACTGTCTAAATGTGATTTCTAAAAACCTGCTGGAGTTTTAAGATCTACACTTTGGCTACAGATAAGGGTGGAACTCTTTAATGCATCTCATGATTTGATAAGAATACAACTCAGAAGATTGTGATAGGATTGTAACACAATTACGGGTGTATTACAACTTATTTAACTATGGCTTATTTTACAAATAAATAAATAAAAATACCAGTATATGTTTTCATTCCTAATAAAGAGTCTATATGGTGTGTTTGAATGTAATGCCTTCTGATGATTTCACTCATGCATTTCAAATTACGTGGTGGACTTTTGGTAGTGACTGATGGGTATTTAGTGGTTATTTTTTCATTGAATYAACAAAGGCTTACAACACATAATGTATCTGTTTTTCTTTTAAACAGTTATAGCTTTAAATAAACTGCCCC